TGGCAGCCTGAGATGTAAGAGAAAGAACATGCTAGGGAGAAACTTATGCTGCATCTAGCCAGCTCTGTGTTCTGGGATTTCATAAGGACTGTAGTTAGAGTGGCAGGAAAGCCTTTCTCTTAATCTTTGAAAAATGTGCTTGCAGCCTTCCCGGGAACCATGATTAGGCAGCTGATTTGAAACTAATCTGCTGTGTGCGTTAACTGTGAAAATATACCTTCAAGCGTTCGGCAGTTTTCTGCCTGGCTCGTGGAAGATGTGGCCCTCAATTTGCACGATTTGGATTGCAATTTTCCTGTAGCTCTAGGATATGTATATTTAAGGGTCTGATAAGAAGCAGCTTCTATACACTGGGGCAGAGAGCGTGTTGTTGGTGGATGTGTGAAAAGATGGGCAGGAGGCAGTGGGGTGGCAGGAGGAGGTGTTGGGAAGAGAAGTCAGTTCTCAACAATCCTATGTTGGTTAATGATCCAGGGGAGCACTTATATTTAGGAGCCTAAGCAGGGTTTTAAGATCATAGAATCATATGCAACTGTGATCAACAGTTTTGTATGTCCCACATTTCTGGATCTGAGGCTGCCTCAAGCCCTTACACACATTCCAAGTTTACTGGAGCTTACCAATGGCGTCTGAATTTTATGTCTGTGTGTGAGCTCTGAGCCTGACACACATGCAAGTTAACTTTTTTTGTGGGTGAGCTCAGGTGAAATTTGTGATCCAAAAACCTTCCCACTAGCAAAGAATATATGCTCAGGTCCTCTGTGCTACATTATGACAGCTCCATACAGAATAACTTGCCCCTTGGCTCTTTCAAGTGGGAATGTGGATGATGTTGAAGTGGCACAAGCTAAGAGCTTGCATAAAGTGTTGACAGCATAGCTTATAATTATACTTTTAAATTTTTGCTGCTTTCCTACTTTTGTATCAGAATTTTCCATGGATATTAGTAAAACTCTCCACAGCTTGCAAGCTTAAAGAGCTTTCTTTTAAGGAAAAGAGCCTGCTTGCTTGATGAGATTTCTCCAAGCTAAGCTGCACCAGCTCTACTATAAATCTAAATTCTTGCCTTTTTCTTTATATTCTTTGGCAAGGACTCACTCGTATTCCTAGATTCTTAAAGCCAGTTTGATGGAAAGACCCAAATATCTAAATAGCTCTTTCACTGAAAATCTAGGACAGAAATTTCAAAGAAAGCATTGTCAAAATCCTTTAAACTACAAAATCATAACTCAGCTATTTATAAACAACAAAACTATCTTCTAATATTTTACTTTATCGTTGAGCACTATCGTCTTTAAAGTGACTACTGAGACTGGCCAGCTTTATTAATGACCTCATAGCTGATAAATTTTGCAGCTAAGTGTCTTACTGCCTGTGAGGTAACGCTGGAGAAGCAGATAAGTGCGTCTGTCTGACTGACTGTAAGAATTGCACTTTTGTGAGCTTCCCTCTTAATTCCTTCCTTTAAGGAACACTATAGACAGTTTTTTTTATCTGCACTTTTAACTACCGTTCTACAGAGCATGTTATAAACACAACATATAATATATTTAGTGTTCTGGTTGAACTGTAGATGGGTTCTCTCATAAATGTAAGAAGGCACTCAGCAAGTTTTAAACAAGAGAAGGAAATGCTCCTGAAAGAAATGAGTAGACTTGCAAATAGTGACATAAAAGTCATCTGAATAAGTAAACATAGTAAAAAAAAAAGAGATGGCTAGACCTATGTTAGCCGAGGAAACTGGGGACCTCTGCGAGTGATTCAGTGAAAACTATCTCCAAAAGATGTCTTTCCAAGCAGTGAGATTATGGATTTAGAAGTTTTTGGATTGTGAGCCAAATTCTGAATTATTCTGAAACAGCAGATGCAAAGGTTCGGGGACAGAAGGTGTGGAGGAAATGGATCTTCCAGCAATGAAGCCTGCAAAACAAACCCACTATTTCATTTAGGATGCACAGCAACAGAGATAGGACTAAACAACAGCAGACCAACTCTGTCCATTCATACACTACCTGTTTCTGAGAGGCATCAAAAACTTCACATGTGATAGCAGGCAGTCAGGAGTAACTCACTTAAAGTTTCTCCCTAATCGATAATGTTTGACTTATGCATTATATAGTATCTTTTGTTTTGTAAATGTTTTCTACTGAAACTCTTCACCCATTTTAAATATCTCATCTGGTTTTGATTCCTATGAAGACTCTGGATTCAGCTGAAACTTATGGCTGTACTTGCCTTTATTGGTGTTAAATATTTTGCCTGATAATTTTGTTGGATATCCTTCTTTCTTTTATTTTTTGTTCAAGTGAATGAGTAGTAGGAATATAGTTGGCCACAGGTCTATTAATAAAACCAAATTCAAGTAGAGAATGTATTTTTGCTGGAATGAAAATTGCTTAATAAAACTGTCAGATTCACTATAGTTTTGTTACAAAAGAAAACTGGAAAAAATGTTCCAGAAACACAAAAAGTCCCATCTTGCATTTCATTTTGAAATCTTGTTTCATTTCAACATTATTTGATTTTATATTATGTTTTAGAGTCTCAGATGAAATATTCTGATATGCCTGGATCAAGTTGTATTTTCAGAATGCTCATTTATGAACAAGTTGGAAATTTTCGGTTCTTATTGTGATTCAGAACAGGAGTTTTGCAATACTAAACAAGGCATCCTGAAATGGAAATCTTATCCTCAGCTACAGCTTTGTTTAGCTCTAAGCAAAACCCACAATCACAGAATCACAGAATGGTTTGAGTTTGAAGGGATCTTAAAGATCCCTTCCAACTTCCCTGCCATGGGAAGGGACACCTTCCACTAGACCAGGTGGCTCAAAGCCCCATCTAACTTGCACCTGAACACTTCCAAGGATGTGGCATCCATGGGAAAGCTGTTTCAGTGCCTCACCACCCCCACAGTAAATTTCTTCCTCATATCTAACCTAAACCTACCTTCTTTCAGTTTAAAGGCATTACCATCTGTCTTTTCACTCCATGGCTTTGTAAAAAAATCCCTCTCCAGCAGTCTCATAGGACCCTTTTAGGTACTGGAAGGCCACAAATAGATCAACCCAAAGCCTTCTCTTCTCCAGACTGAACAATTCAGGTCTCTCTGTCTTCATAAGAGAAGTGCTCCAGCCCTCTGAACGTATTCATGGCCCTCCTCTGAACCTACTCCAACAAGTCAACGTCCTTCCTGTGCTGAGGACCCCAGAGCTGAATGCAGAACTCCAGGTGAGGTCTCACCAGAGTGGAGTAGAGGGGGAGAATCACCTTCCTCAAACTGCTGGCCACACTTCTTCTGATGCAGCCCAGGATATGATTGGCTTTTTGGGCTGCAAGTGGACATTGCTGGGTCACATTGATCTTTTCATCAACAAATACCCCCAAGTTCTTCTCCTTAGATCTGTTCTGAATCCATTCTCCACCCACCCTGTACTTGTGCTTGGGATTGCTCTGACCCAGATGCAGGACCTTGCACTTGTTTAACTTCATGAGGTTTGCACAGATTCACCTTTCAAGGCTGTGACATTCCTGGATGACATTCCTTCCCTCCATCATGTTGACCACACACACAGGGCTTGATGTCATCAGTAAACTTGCTGAAGGTGCACTCAGTCCTACTGTCCATGATAAACAGAGACAGTTCCAATACTGATCCATGAGGAGTGCCACTTGTCACTAGTCTTCATGCACACACATACACACGGTGCTACTCTGTAGCTTTACTGTCCCAGAGAGAGGCTGAAATATTTCCCTCAGATGCTTATTCATGGCTATCTTACTTTTGATCTTTGCATGCTACTTGATATAAAAGTCACCTCTGACCTTTATGTACCTTTTGTTGCCAGGGTAAGAAAATTTTATAAGTGTTAATCCTGGCTACGTGTTGCCTTTCTGCTCAAAAGAATGGGGTGCAAAAGTGTCTGCACTTAAACTGGAGTTGCCACTTAACAGTCTTCCATCCTCACAGTATTATGTCATAGTTTGCATTTAGTATTTCTAATTTCTTTTTTGAGATTTCTGTCAATGCTCCTGGTTTTTCAGCATCATAGTTCACTGAGGAGTGCTTATAAAGTGTGTTCCTCTTAGGGACCCAAAGATGATGCCTCCAAGCTCCTCCCAGCTCTGGAAATGGATACTCATTGCAGTTTATCTAACCTAGATCTAGACAGCAGAAAAATGAATTGCATAGTATAGCAATGTGCAGTTACTGAGGAAGCTGACAAAATACAGGCATTGGTTGTGAAATGCCTCTGTAAAAAGAAGTTATTTAAAGTCCAGCTGAGCGCTTATCACCATGGTCACCTGCTGACACTACATCACATCGGGCAGAGGATTGTTCAGCATTGCTTCCAGTATGTGGCTTGGGCATATCAGCCTCTTACTGGCTGCATTTTCCAGATGGATGCAAAATTGGTGTCCAACTTCTTGAGTGGGGTATGAGACACTCCCTCTTACTGTTCTCCCTCTCTCTGCTTTAAAAATAGTTGGGCTTACTTTTTCTTGTTCTATATTGACATGCCACAAACACAGGTCAGACCTTTGGAATTAAGAAAGTGACTGAGTTGTCCCAACATTTCTCTCACAAGAACCAGATGGACAGAGCACTCCCATGCTATGGAAAATTCCATCTGAAGTTTGTCTCTGGCTTAGCTAAAGTAGAATTACTGTTAGGTGACTGTCAGAATAACAAGGTTTTATTTAGTTCAGAATGGTTATGAATGTTTGTTTTGTTCATCAGTCTCGTGCACCTAGGAAACTCCCCTAAGTCCACATTCTCTAAAGATGATATTCCTACAGGAGATTTCATGAAAGATGAATCAAGATTTAAAAAAATCCCTGAGAATGTGTTAAGATCTGATTAAAATTATTAGAGAGATGACCCTGCCTGAACTAAGGTGTAAACAAGACCATATGCTGAAGCCAATAGTATGGATTTTATTTAATGGTAAATGTGAGGCAGAGAGAGAAAAAGAAAGAAATAGGAAAAAGAAGGGGGTGGGGAAGAAAGAGAGTGACAGAGAGAGATTAAACAGAAAATATATCACCACTTCATGGAACCCACTGATGTCCCATAGGTCCTCTTGTTCTGGTCTTCTTGGTGCTGAGGATCCTGCAAAACATAGTGTCCAGTGGAGTTAATAATCTCATTGGAAGGATGTAGCACACCACCAGGTGCAATGGGATTCCTCGTCTGTTGCTGAGGTTCGGTGAAACACTGATGTAACCAGCAGTAATTTTCAGACAGGAAAGCCAGCAAGCCTCCTGGTCCCTTCTACAAATTTTGGAAGCCAGTGGTGACACTGTGCAGTGATTGACCAGAACCCTGCTTTTGTCTAGGGTTTCCCCTATGCAATGTTTGCACTTATTCCACAGTAGCAGAGCAGTGGCAGGGAGCAAAAGGTGTGCATTTCTGGGCATATCTGGATAGATGCAGAATTTGCATTCTTCTCCCAGTCTTGCTAGACTGGGCTACTTTTATTTTGGAAGCTGCAGAGTGGCTATTCTTGATGGTTTAAGATTGGTGGTATACTAGTGTATGAGTGCGTGTCTTTTGTGGGCAGCGTTTGTTGCACATATGGTCTAGAAACTGTAAAACTGCAGCTAGGAACATGCTGAGTCTGAACTAATAAGCCCTGTCTGGCAGGACAATGCAAATTGTATAGACAAGGAGAGGCCTGAACCCAGACCATTATGAGGAAGGCAGGACAGGGATCTAAAATGGTGTTGTTTTTTGTTTTCTGTTTCTTTCAAAAATGACTCTGTGCCACAGTAAACATGGCTAACAACCCTGCCTGCTAGTTCAGAGTGCTGGCGAAGGGAGCTCACATCTGCCTGCAATCGGCTATGTAGACATATCCTACGTGGCTTCTGTACTGGAGCTGGCTCCTCTCTGCTCAGCTCTGAATACAGTCAGAGTTCACTTATGTTGCTTTGCCTGCATCTGTAGGCATACCCAAACCAATGGGATGTAGACTTTATGGATTAGCCTTTTCCTGAGGTGTGAAAAGCCTTTTTAGGTCCGGCAGCCTTATGAATTCAGTGTAATAGGCTGTAATTTGGCATGTTCTGGCTTGTTTGCACTCTTAATACAATACAGGGTTCATAATTTGACACAGATATAACCCATTCTGTCACAATACTAGTTTGCCAAGATTTATTCTTTTAACAAAGAACATAGATTCTTTTAATGTCTGAAAGCTAATGAGGAAGGATTTTCCAAGTGCAGTGTGATTACACAAAAATGCCTCCCCTCCCC